GTCATGGTTTGCAGAATACTAAAAACTGCATTTTTACGGGTTTTTTTCCACCTGTTTGCAGTAAAAATGGAATATCTCAGCGTGGAAAAGGTTTTGGCGTCTAAAATTTTTTTCATAACCACAGTTTTTCACGGCGAATCGAATGGTGTAAGCTTCAAACAAAAAAAAATTTCATCATGTTATGACCTATCAGGAAAATCCTCGATGCTGTCAGAAAGTCTCTCTTAAGGGTGTTCACTTTTGTTCAGTCTTTAGTGGATTACTATATCTAGAGAATTCAACTTCTTACAGCGTTATAATGGGCTTAAGCATTATATGTCTTTATATATCTAAATGCTACCTTTATTTTGTAAGCTAGTATGCAAAAATATCTTAGCTCAGAACCGTTCTAGTTTGATATATGGTCGGGTCTCATTGATGTTGAAAAAAATTGCAACTTGTGAACAATGAAAGTTCCAAGTACCGTATGATAGGGATTCTTCTTAAACAATTTATAAAACAGAAACGGATATATAACAAAAAATACAGATCATAATGATTAGATAGTGATTACGGTCTTATCGTATGTAATGTAAATTCCACTGATTGTTTGTTCTCATTGAGTACGGCTGGCGGTTGATATGAACTGTCACTTTCAACAATTTCTTTCTCCGGTTTATCATTGTGCTCAACAATCTCGGGTGGCATTCCATATGGATGCTCTGCTTTTGCTGTAGAATCGTCTAATAAGTTAGTGACTGGTCCTTTAAACCATTTTCTAGCATAAAGTAGATATCCTAGTCCAGCACCAAAAATGACTGCTCCAACCCCGACACAAGCATAATTCATGGTTTTTGGTGTTAGTGGGTACAGTGGTGGTAGTACGAATAAGATGACAATGAACGCAACCCAGATAATAGAAATAGTATCAATGAGAGTTGACCATTTTCCTAAATTAAATGGTCCCGGACTAAAATGCTTTGGAAATATTAATTTCCAAAATAACGGCATCACATAGGATATATAAAGACATATTGTGCTTAAACTTGTTACAGCGAAGTAAGCTGTTGAATTCCCTAGATATGGCAATGCAATAATAAATGCGATAAAACAGGATAACCATACTGCATGTAAAGGACACATTATTTTCTTATTAATACGATGCCACCACCTACTGCCTGGCATAGCATGATCACGACTGAATGCATAGATCATTCGAGAATTGGCAGTGACCGACGCCATTCCGCAAAACCAACATGCAACTAATAGTATAATAATAAAAAATAGGCCTAATGGTTTACCAAAATTGTCTAACAGTATCTGTGTTACCGGAAAGCCGGTTAATGAATGAGCAGTTGCCTCATAATCTTTAATGCCCATAAAAAGGGAAACGAGAAACAGCCAACCACTGACAGCACTGACAACAATAGCAGCAATCATTCCATGCGATCCGGCCGTATCAGCACGTTTTGTCTCCTCAGTCATATGGGCTGAGGCATCGAAACCAGATATACAATATTGTGCTTGTAATAAACCAATCAGTATGACATATCCTTTACTTGACCAACCAGTATCATTCACGTAATGTGTGAAGATAAATTTACCCGTTTGTCGATATTTTGGTTTGATAAATAATGCCAAAGTTGTAATTAAAGGTGCAAATAGCTGCCACCATGTGGAGACATGCGTTATATAGCGTAAAAAACGGGGTCCTAACGAATTCGATATACCGTGGCTGATTACAAGGCCTAAATGAATTAAAATAATTGTCCATGGTTTCGGTGACCATGTTAAGTTTGCTCCGACAGAAATAACAGAACCAATTAGCAGAGCCAAACCGAAATCAATTGCCTAAAATATTTAGATATATTATGAATTCTTCCTCGATCACATTAAATGCAAATAACTACAGAAGCAATCTATATCATTTCATAAATGATACTCACAGCTGTAACAGCAAACTGACCAATTAAATTAAACCATCCTGTCATCCAGCTAGCAAACGGTTTATATGATTGTGGAACAAGCATGGCTGTCCAAAAATATAATCCACCACTTGTAGGATGAGCAGAACATACCTCAGCCATTCCTGTCCCAACTATTATTGTAAATATCGAAACGACAACCCAACCCCAAATCATAACCGCAGGTCCACCTAGTGAAGAAGAAAGAAAACGTTCCATTTCAGACAGATGCAGACACACAATTTCAGCACTTTAGAAACTTCTTGATTAGACCAACATGCCACGCGACTTTTTCATGAAATGATTTAAGATTTCTCCAAGCAGCTTAGACTAGTTCTCGACTTTTCGGTCTCTACATTCTCGTTTCAAGTAAGTTATTTTCTGAAACGTGCTGCGTCGTCAATGCAATAAGCGTGCTCCTAAAAACATAAAATCGTTTATGTAGATTTTCTCCGTCTTCATTATACCGTAGAACAGCGTGTCGTGCAAAGATAACCACTTCATTAACGAACGCATAAATAGCGAATGATGTGAGTGTTTACCTGTAACCATTCCATATCCAAATAGTGATGTAATACCAGAGCTAATACTAATAACTGAGAGAGAGACACCATAGTTGGATATTGTACTAAGTCCACGTTTTAATTCTTGTTTATAACCAAGTTCATGCAGACGAACTTCATCAACATTCTTATCATAAGACGTATCGCGCTTGAATAACCCTTTCAAAAACATCATGGAGTGTGATAAGAGTCTTCGCAGAGAACAGGAACCTATTCTGTTAGAAAAAGAAAGCTATCACAGAGAGTAGATATATATATAACTCAACTCGGCCTTTAAGTGCATACTGGCCACTACGAAGCTGTCTGCTTCAAGTTGGATATTGTTAAGTTTTAGTCGGAGAGAACTGATTTCATTACCAATATCTGCGTTACTGACTTATTCGAGGTTTCGATGTATTTGTTACATCATTTTCAAGAGAAATGACTCTACAAGAGAAAAAATTGAACGTATATACACTGTATGATAAACAAAAGAAAGAAAGAAAGAAGTATGGTACTATGTCATAGATAAAAAAGGTTTCCGTTTTTGAACACAGAAATGTGTACCTCTATCCTACCCGAGTACTTACATTTTTTTCGAATTTGCACGCTGAAAAATCATCAAAAATCACTAAAAAATGAAGATGAACTAAAATTTCGATATATACAACACATGTTTCGTTCTTTGATCCTGATTCCAAATATGCTATTTTTATCTCATCGAAGTGGAGTTCTGATAGGGAAAATTGAGAATTCTGACTTTTCGCCTCTGATTTAGAGAAAATGAGGTTTCTCAGCAGCGAAACAAAATTTAAAAGAAGCGCGATGTAGTTTTAGAGTCGGACTTACAGCGAATCTGGTGAGATGCGAATGACGGCTTCAACCCCTCACACAAAAAACTAGACAGGTCCCTCTCTTGTCCATGCCCATACGTAAAATTTCATCCATGTATAATTAGCCCTAGTCCAAAAATTTTAGTCATATATGTTTTTCTCACAAAACGTTCAATATTTAACTGTAAGTTAGTTTTAAAATAAATTTCTTAACGATAACTACAATCCGTTTCAAAATAAAAGACACTTGGCCGCATTCTTAATAACTTTTTACAAGAACATGATAGCGATCTGCGGTTTATTTAAGTGAAAAACCGGTTTTCAGCCTGTCACCAGCCAAAATTAAAACCCTTATATCTCGGTTAAATCTCATGCTTACTCAACGAAATGTTGAGGAAACGCCGAGGACAGCTCAAAAATCATGAGAAGAGACGAAAAGGTTGAACTTCAGCCGGGTATCGGATTTAGGGTTTTCAGAAACCTTCTGAAAAACCTCAACGCCTCAGTGTTGTGCTGGAGCCCTTTGTCGACTTGATCAACAATATATGACGCTTTTTAAGTCTTTCCTCAACATTTCATTGAGTAAGCATGAGATTTAACCGAGATATAAGGGTTTTAATTTTGGCTGGTGACAGGCTGAAAACCGTTTTTTCCCTTAAATACCTCTGGTGAAGTTATTTTCATTTCTACACAAAAATAAATGTTGCCACGATGCTCAGCGTGGTCGCAAACGTATCGTTAAAACTAATTTCGAAAGTTTTCGCTTGCAAAAAGCGTTCCCCAGGCAGTCTCAGAAAATGTCGCATAACTCCTGAACGGTGAAAGATAAAAGAATTTGCAAGTGGTTTAGTTTTGTAGATCACGAGTCCGCGGTTCGAATCCATAAGAGTGAAATGAAATTATGACTTTTTTCTATGATCGGACGTCGCCTGTAAAATATTCTCGCAAGGTACACCATCTGGAACTGTTCGGAGAAATCTTTTTTCGCATTTTTTGATAGCCCCGAAATTTTAGTTCCAGAAACTGAAAACCACAGATCGCTATCATGTTCTTGTAAAAAGTTATTAAGAATGCGGCCAAGTGTCTCTTATTTTGAAATGGATAGTAGTGCTTTATGTCTATTTCCTCCTGTATCTTGTCAATTTTGAAAACTTGTTGCTGTTTACTTTTTGATCAATAAATTAAGCAAAACAACAAAGTGAAGGCAACGGACATAAAAGGCCGAGTATTAGTACACTAGAGTAATAAGTACGGAAATAAAATGAAAAAACTGGTCGAAAAAACAAAGATTCAGGTTTCAAAGGAGTACAAGAGGAAACAGCCAGGAAAGAGTTCTGTTCGTAGCATAATTCAGAGGAAACTCATAAGAAGAGGGTTTAGAATTACGTTTTTAATGCAATGATTAACCTTTATTAGAGTCTCTGTTCAGGAATGATCAACCACTGTTTAATAATATGTATTATCTTTATCTAAAGTAAACAAAACGAAATAAACAAAACACTGTTAGATCAGAAGAAATCAATAAGTCTACATTCAATAAGCTTCTCACAAAAACTGACAGCGAATGAACTAGTTGAAGGGTAACTAATTTATTTACCATCTTAATGATGTACATTAATGACATCTTAATAGATCTATTCGGAATAGGTTGTTTAATGCTTTTATGTGTAGAAAATATGAATGATTTGATCATTTTTACCTTTAAGTCTCCATAACAAGATATAACTGCTACCAAAAACTTTCAAAAAAATTCTTTTGAATACTTTTATACTACACGAAAAGTGTGTATCGGTATATGTAGGCTATTATATATCGTCATAAAAACCGTAAATGCTAATTATCTATTCAACCATGGCAAAAATCAGCGAAAACATCATCAGTGAGAAATGAATAGAACACGAAACAGGCTTTTCTTCAACCGAATAAATCGTGTTCTCTGCGAAGACTCTTATCGCACCCCATGATGTTTTTGAAAAGGTTACTCAAGCGCGATACGTCTTATGATAAGAATGTTGACCAAGTTGGTCTGCACGAGGGTCGTTTCGATATTCCTATAAACCGTTTGCTAGCTGGATGACAGGATGGTTTAATTTAATTGGTCAGTTTGCTGTTACAGCTGTGAGTATCATTTAGTACTGAAAACTGATCGAGAATGCTCACTAAACTGGTTATACTTTTTTGTCCATTTTGGGTGTGCATTGGTACGCACACTCAAAATTGCCTTGACTTTAGTATTAAATCAAACAACCACCGCATGCCTTAGAGTGACATTTACCTGTACAAATGTTGACGCACATACCTGTTTATGAAAGTTATGTTCGTAAAATGAGAATGGGTAACCTATCACCGCGATTTTCCATGCATAACGTAAAGAAACGCTTTCTATTTGTGATCACTTCAGTTACCATGTGCCCACATGCTCAAGTTCAAAATCGAGATAAATTATGTGCGACTGATACCCTAACTGTAATAGTTACGTTGTTTAGCTCTTTTCAACTTTATATCTGAAGAATAAGCAGTTAAAAGGTTTGTCAAATCTGGAATAAGTTCTCCTCGAAAAACAAGTTAGAAGCACTTTGGGCCTGTGTGATATTTTCCAAATTTCTTTTACCGTATACGAATGCTTATTGTCTATCAAAAACAATGTGCCTTGATTATTTATACTTTTGTCTTTGATACGGATAATATCATTAAACTAAAGGTAGCACTACTACTAGTCACAGTATAACGTATAGATATCATAAAACTAGCTATAGGTTCAAATGACAAAAGAAGGACAAAAAATATAAAGAGTGATTAATTTTGAATGAATATTACTCTTATGTACGAGCCTCTTTCTAACTGTTTGATTTCATCTGCGGTCCTTCGTTAATGAGAGAAAAACTTTTCAAATATGTGTTTTATTTCGCTTCTTGTATCTTCCATTTTCTTAAGTACATCTTGTTTTCTGTCCCTGGACAGAGAGAGAAAATGAATGTGACTTGCAGTAAAACAAGAGAATAAGAAAAATAGACGATTAACAACAACACAATTTTTCTATATGTAGTCATACTACATTTTTGAATCTACGGTAGGTGGCAAGCTACGTTATATGTAACAAAATTTAACTTTTTTTTTATCTCTGTTGTTTATATATTTTATATCATTTAGCATCACTGAAGATCTTAATAAAAGAGGTCGAAAGGTTTGTTTTTAAATAAATAAATTTACGGAATTAAAGTATCTATTTTGAAATCTAATACGACATCATTAAATAAAAGTAGATCTGTTAAGATACTTTTTCTTTCAAGAGTTTGCCGCATAAAACTGCTAGAATACTTCAAAACGCTGGGAGTTGGTATAATAAAGGGAAAAATTCAACGAAGAAACGGTAAATCTAACAAGCTGATTGATTTGACCGATTCGAACCACTAAAAATAGCCTAATTGTATGAAAACGCAGTTAAAAAAGTTGTAAACCGATCGAAATGACTATTGAAGGTACCAAACTTAAATACATTGAAAGTGATATTCCCAAGAAGTTTTAAACTAATAAAAAAGACATTAGCAGTTACCATAGTAACAAGTAATTCGAGCGCGATCTATTTACCCAAACTTGGATAACCATAAATGTCAAAGTCACAGTCCGAGACAAGTTAAGCATTAATTTAACCTCTGCCATTTGAATATAGATCTCGGCATAGAAATACGATTAGTACTAGTATTTTAAGTATTTAAACTAGTGCATATTATTAAGATGGATATAGAACAAAAGATAAATTAAAAGGCAAAGATCAGATCTTGTGGTAAGCCATTGGCTGATCTAGCCAACGAGCGGTCAATCGACAACTTGATAAAACTTGATGAATTCTTTCGAACGAGACTAGTTTTAGAGAAATCGATCTAGCCAACTAAGAGAAAAGCGTACTTTGTTTCGAGGAAAAAATTCATGTCATTTTTTAACATGAAATCCTGTCTCACCGAGGTTGATACGATAAATTAGACCTCATAGATAGAGCTAATCTTAAAGTATATGACGAAGAAATCTGGACTATATCTCTTACAGTTATTGAGAAAACGAGCTTTGTGGTGTTTGCTCATGAAAAATAACTATTGATAAATAACGAACGACATGTCGCGACATTGATTTCAAAAAGTTTTGCCATATGTTCTTTGACTGTATGGCGGAACTACGCAAAAAATTTGAGAAACATCGGTATAAAAGCGATACACTATAACGACAGGCTCCCATCGTGCAATAAACTATTAACAGTTCAATAGCTGTGTTTCCTGAATCATAAATTTGTTTAATACGAGAATGTTGTTGCTTTTTCGAAAAAATTATTGTGAGAGTCTCTAGTATGTTCTTTATATTTTCAACTTATCTCTTCTATTTACAGACCTGATGCATTTAAAACGAATAGAGTATCATAAAAAGTATAATAGTTCTAAACATATCATGCACACACACGAAGCAATCAACGGAGAGAGATACAATTTACAAAAAGATAAAATACAAAGAAACCTGCGAAATTAAAAACCGAACAAAAGAAGAATAAGAAACATGTCTGGTTGAATTTATTGTTGTTCTTTGTTAACGTTTGATAACAGTTAGGCATGCACCGAGTAATTGACTAAGGACTTTATATTTTTTCTAAAACCTGGCGTTTCGTAGATTACTTCGTTAAAACTTTTCTGACTCGGTAAGAATGTAGAGCAAACATTTCTCTAAAAAATGAGAGGTTGGACAGCTCTGTACGATTTATTTTGAGATTTTGGCAGCGATACTTAAGAACACATAATCGAGTAGTAAACGAGTATTGAGTACTCGATTAGTCCCTTATGGAGGCATCGCTGCCAAAACTCAAAACGAATTGTACAGAGCTGTCCAAGCTCACATTTTTTAGAGAAACGTTTGCTCTACATTCTTACCGAGTCAGAAAAGTTTTAACGAAGTAATCTACGAAACGCCAGGTTTTAGAAAAAATATAAAGTCCTTAGTCATCTACTCGGTGCATGCCTAATAACAATGTGCGACGAGTGATTCTTTGAATATCCAAAACAAGGACGTAAGGGAAGTTAGCAATAGATTTCTATATTTTCGCCTAACGTTATTGAAGCTGTGACACCTTTTGAAATAAGTGCGCCAGCTAGAACTCGGCGAGCTCTATCGAATGGCAAAGTCTGTTTTTCAGAAAATATCGTGTCTCAAAGAACAGAAACCAACATGGAGTCTGCTGTACAATATGCCGATGTCCCTCAGTATATCATATACACGGACGAAAGGAGAAAAGTAACATCCATAGTAGGCGGGAAGATCAGTTTTAAATGACTCAGAAATTTCTTTTTGTAAGTAGTTTTTGTAACTTATATTTTTGGGGCAGTATTGATAACCACTGGATTGTAAGCCCCCCAAATTCAGAGTTACAGTGACATTTTAGTTGGTGGCACCTTGGAAACGTTCTCGAAGTTTCCAATCTAAAGAAATCACAAAAATGTGGTTTGTAAAAAATACCGAATCTGTTTTTTTAAATCTGAGGGCGCTCCGAAAGCTCCAGGGTCGGAAATTTGTCACAAGTGTCGCATTTTGATCCTTATTGAATCCTCTATCGATCTATATAATTTTCCGAGAAATTGATTTTTCAAAGGTTTTTTGGAGACTCAGTTTTCCAGGAAACCCTTTGAAGGGTTTTTGAACCTCCTGAAAATATTTTCATCGGATTTTTGATGATTTTTACCTACAAATCCAGATTTTCATGCTTGTGCAGTTAAAATGCTTTTGGCCCCTCTCCAATGATGGGTTTAAAGCTAGTTGTAGTTTTCGGTCAAAGTTAAAATTCAATTTGGACTTCATATCGAAAATTCACCGCAATCTGTTGAAGCGTGTATTTTGTGGTTTAACAAAATTTGATTTCTGTCTGGACTAGGGTATAATTTGTTTCATTATTCTGCCTATAGTGTGGAGCTTATTCCTACGCTTGTTAAAGTATCGGAAAATATGAGAAGCGCTCCTCCTGGAGAGTGAAAGAAATGAAGAGAAAACGGCTACATGATGTATTCTTTTGACTTCTGTTGTTTATTAAAATTAATACTGTGGTTGCACTGCAAATATAATTTTCTTAGGTTATAAAAAAATGCACTTTTCACCTAAAAACTGGCGCCTTAAATAAGTTATTTTAACTGCACAAGCATGAAAATCTGGATTTGTAGGTAAAAATCATCAAAAATCC